CCATGTTAACAAAACTGTATCCAGCTATTTGCTTGTCAGCCACCTCTCACTCCTCCGTTGCTACAGACAGACTGCTTTTGATTTTGTTTCGCAGCAAATGCAGACCTCCACTCCTGGTAGTGTTCTGTCCTGTGTGCCCTCAATTGCCGCTTTCACTTGGGTGAAGAAAGGGGTCTTTTAAAGGCTCCCACAGGCATCACTCCAGGAACCTCTCACTGCTGGGACCTACAGTGTGCCTTTTAATGGACTTTCTCTCTGTGAGCAATAAAGATTATATCTGGAGTCAAATAGTGCTGCAGGTAACACTAGCCTAAATTAATCGGGTGAAGTCGCTGGGGCTGATCTCAGTGGTTTCAGCAGAGACATATGAAATGTACAGATGGCAGAGGTTGAAGAAAAGAGTGATCTGACCATCTGGCTAATCCTCCTGTTTAAGAATACCTATTAAGGCCCTGTCTAGTGCCCCTTGTGTCACTGGTAGGTCAGATCATCTTTTATCACAAACTAGAACTGCGGTTTGCTACCTGGGTATGGGACCAGTGCAAGAGGTCACAAGATAAATAAGCCAGGTTACGGATGGAAAGAAAGATAAAGAGAGAAGAAAGTGGTTAAGAAGATGGATGGATTGATTACTGAGTGTACTTACCCCTTCATCCCTCTGAAGTATGAGTAAAAATCAAAGAAAGCACCACTTTGGTTAAACTAAAAAGAATGATCAACTAGAGCAATTTAGGGAGCAATATTGTGGCTCTGTGGAATCCTTTCACAGATTTTGTTTTGTCATAGATAAAAGCGCTGAAGTAAGGAACTGTATAAAGATTGGGGGGAAAAACCCAGGTGACTTAGGCTCGCTTATAATTCTATCAAACATCCTTAATTTCATCATCTGATTTGCAAACTCAAAATCAAATTATTCTGTCTTTTAACATGCAATTGCTTTTCAAATCCAATAACATAACGGTAAGATGACAAGTGGACCCTCGTAACAAAATCACAGTCTTTATTAGGTACCAATCCTGTCGTGACAGCGATGATTTATGGCATCTTTGTTTCACAGGACTTTGGAAGGAAGAGGATGTTGTGTGGTTGAGTTACAAAAATTGAAGCCTTAACTTGCTATAAATATCCAGCGAATGATCAGAAGAGCAGTTATGTGTCTGTGGCGTCACTGGGCAGTGCTCCAAATGTGAAACAGGATAATGTCGATTATTGCGTGTTCACATTTAGTGTGTGGAAAACTACATTTTTCTTCTTCCTTTTTTGGTGAATCCAAAATGTTTTAATGCTCCATAAGGGAATTAGGATCAGAGCTTATATACCCATAAACTGACACACCATGTCCACGGCAGGGGATTTCAAGCTGTAGGCGATATTAGTGCGGTCTTCTGAAAATCTCAATCAGAGCCGTAATGAGCAGTAAGGAAGACCACTTTATGCAGAATGATAGCCCTGTGTTCAGAGCTCTGTTGTTACACATAGCTGCTGTAATAGAAGTCATTTGCAAAGAGTTAGACAAGTTACCAGACAGCAAGCAGCTGTTGGGATGATTCGTAGTAAACAAATGAGCTAATAAGCTAATGAACCCACTGAGGTTACCTGTTTGGCCTCCCCCAGGAAAATGTCCTTATCTGCTCCACGACATTTGACTTTAGCTTTGTGTGAGAACTCAGCTGCATTACTGCTAATGGGCAGCATCTAACAACATTTAGTGTTGCTTAGTTAACATTACGCAGTTAACCTCATGTTAATCTTATGTTAGCAGAACTCTGTTGTGTCCTCTTCAAGTTGAATAATTAGTTTACTGTTCTGATTCATCCACACATATGACTTTTCTGTGGTGGACAGGATACCTTAAAAGGACATTTTCAGGGATGGGAAAAGAGAAGTGAACTGCTAGAGTACATATGCGTGAGTGTTATGTATGTTGTTGTTTCCTATATGTGTTTGTGCTTGTATGTGCGTTGGTGTTTTGCACACTCATGCCTCATCAACATCCCATCAGAGACCCATCTGGTTTTCTTTGAAGAGGCTCGTGGAGCTGCAGCAGCCCTGGCTTTAAGGCAGGGCCAAGCCAGCAGCAGTTCCTCCCCACTTACACATAAGTCCATGGTGCAAGGCCCTCTGCCAGTAACATTATAGACCGACCCTTGTGGCTACTTCCCAAACCACCCAAGCTCATACCCCACTTTCTCTCTTCTATTGCCCTTGAAATGGGGCCTGCTCTAAATATTATCTCCCCCTGTGCTTTATCCCTCCGTTTATCCCTAAGTCTGCAGAGAGAAGAAAGGAGCCATGGGGCTTAGTCACTTTTTCCCTTCTCTTCTCCTCTCTCCAAAACCACAGGCAGCGGCAGCGGCTTCCTGGAGATGAGCGCTTTTGTCTGTTGTGTGACCGCTGTGGCTTTAGGCAGATCCTCCTCTGATGAGGTAATGCGCAAGCTGGATGATCAGGCAGAGGGAGAAAGCAGGGAGGTGTAGGAGAGGGACCTCAGTTTGGATCTATATTTTAACCTTTGATTTATCGAGCTGGTTCTTACATCCACATCCTGCTTCACATGGAAGGCTGTTGACTTTAATCCCTGGATCAGAGACACAGTTGGCAAAGTTGAACTGCAGACTACTGATGAGTGGCGAGTGTCTGTGAAAAAAGGTTTAGCACACGGGAATATTTCTTGCATTTCCTCTGCTATTGGCTCCATTAGTAATCAGTAACTCTTTATCATTTTGGGAGTTTGTTTCCGCAGTTGCAGCAAAAAATATTCATAAATATTTGTTGCTACAAAAGTTACAAAATCATTTTGCATCGATATACAGAAACATTTCAGTATTTGCAGATATCCAGATCTCGTCTTGAACTGTTGTGAAATGAAGCAACACTTTCATTATTCCCATTATTCACTTTGTGTTTCAGCTGCTACTTAAGAATTTCTTCATAGATTAAAAAAGATGTCAAAGGTTTTGTGTGATTTTTATGTGCAAATTTCCACTCAAAAAAAAAAAAAATACTGGAAAGGAACCTGCTCATGGTTATTTGCACATGTGTCTGGACTGTAAGTGTTTCCAATGCGTGTTTGCCCATTTTATCTTTTTTTTTTTTGGTAACTGCTGCTACACTCAGACCTCGGGCCTCCTGTTAAGGAGTGCCAGCAAACTCACTGACATTAAGAATGATTGGTTTCTGTTTTACCTGCCATGGGTCATGGAGGTCTGAGGCCAGGGTCAGCCTCTCTGTTGTGGTTTGTGCTACAGGAGATGTCACCGGGTCCTTAGATCACAGTGATCCAGCGTATTATTCTCTCCAGACAATATGCTTCTATACCTCTTTGCATTCTTGAACATGCCGTAGCTGGAATGAGGTTTTTTTTTCCAGCTGTTTGGTTTCCTTCAACACTTCATTAAAAACAGTGGGTTTTAAATACCTTGTGTTTGAATGTTGTGTTGACTGTGTAGGTGGAAAGAAGGAAGGTCAAAAAGCAAACAGCACATCTGCAACAATGGCTCTCCTGCAGTGCAAGCACTTGCTGTTAAGAGACTTGTCTCAGCTTTATATTTACGATCAAAATTTAAGCAACCCTGAATACAGTTCACTGCAGCATCACACAACAGCATAGCAGCCTCATAATTACAGTATTCTCATTAAAGTAAAATCCTGCATCTCATTTGAAAGCTGCCATCAGCAAAAATTAACTTGCCCTAATGGCCGCTGATTGCATTCCTGCAGTGGCCAACCCCCTCCTCCAAATTTAGTGATCTGATCATTTAAGTACATGCTAGCATAATTGAGGTCTCTCCCTTGATTAGATTTGCGCCAGCTTTTAACAAAGCCTGCTCGAACTTAATCCAATGACCCCCATTGTAGCAGGAGAGGATGGATGACATCGCTCCTGGTTAGCGTCAACATCAACCGTGCCGTCGAGCAATTAGAGGCCACGCTGATAAAGTAGCTGGACGACTATAGCTAATGATACAAATGTTCTCAAAGCTCGTGAGACAACAAGCTGAAAACTGAGCCACGTTTCATAATCCATTCATCTGACTTTATACACAGAAAGTTTTCAGAAAGGACTTTGAAATGAGAATTTAAGTTCAAGGAATCACTTCGGTTTTACAAATAACAAGCTTGTTATTCATATTATATTAGGCATGCAGTAGTAAGACAGCGCCTTTCACTGTAATAAAAGAGTCCTTGGAGTAAATTTGAATGTTTATTTAGTACCAAACAAAGGCTTACACCGACTGGAGCTGTCAGATTCAAGCAGTGTCAGTGGTTTAAGTAATGTCTCTGAGTTTTACCCAGCTACACAACATTCTTGTGTCACAGGCCTGACCCACTGGGACTGAAACAAGCAGTTCAGCAGGGCATAGATGCGCTGTCTTTGGCTACTTCTTCTGATGACACCTGCTTGCCCATAATCACAGTTAGAGACGAAACCTCCTGCTGACCTGTGGCTGTGTGTCGCACGTTAAATCCTCTAATCTTCTCCTTTGTTCTCTGTCACCCTCGATTAGTTATGTAGCAAGAGTCAGCGAGAAGAAAGTATGTGCTGAGTTTCCAAGTACATGCCTGTGCTCAGATTAGTAACCTTTAAATGCTCCATGCATTTATGAGTCTTAGGAGCTTAACGTTGGTGTTGAAAAACAATTTTTTTTAAACCAAAGGGGCTCAATATACACAGGTTCCATCTAACGTTGTAAACTTGATGGTGAGAAA